GCCTAAGATCCCGATAGAAAGAAGACTGAATCCATGAAGTAGACGAACCAAAGTAGTCAAACGGATCCTCAAAATCGCAACATTACATGAACTATCAAGAAGAAGCAACACCGGAAAGAAGCAAACAACTAAGTAAACAACCATCGCATAAACATGGCATGATGCACAATCAACTATGATGCATGTCCGGTTTAAATATACATGGCATGGCAAAATGCGACAAACAATACTACAAATTAAGTGGAGCTCAATATGCAACTTGTTTAGGTACTCAACAATACTAAATGTTGCATATTAACGAAACACCACATCCAAGTATTTAGTTCGCTCTTGTTTAGGTACCCAACAATACTAAACGTTGGTTAACATAGCAAGAAGTGAATCATAATTAAACTACCTATCTAGGCAAGTTTAAATGAGGGCGGAAACAACAAACAACGATTCCAGTAAATCCCCACATGTCATTTCGCAATTTAATGCAAACATCATTTTTAAACATTTTAAATGGTGTTATCATGATGCAGATGACATATGAAAGTTATGCAATTTTATAAAAATGTTGACATGTGCATGTTATAAAGCATTTGATCATCATGTCAAAACAAAAGGGATGCCACGACAACGACAACGAAAATGATGCCACAACAACATTTCGATGCTCTGACAACTCGTCGAGATGTCAGTGCAAAAAAAAAGTACGGATGTACGAAACATGCAAAAGATGGTGGGCTGGTCCCGATTACTGGGTTCCCACGGGTCGAAGGCATGGCAACGACAACTCAAACATGGTGCAAACACAAACATCTCATACAACACATATGTATTTGTTCGGCGTTGTCTCGGGTTTATACCTTCGAAGCGTGCAATTCGGGGCGGACGAGTTTGATGCAGTGCAGACGAAAGTAGTGCTACACGACATCGGTAGAGGTACTCATCGGTAGTCGTACACGTTCGGAGAGGAACATGGCATTTCGGTTTGTAGTTGTTCGGGCGGCGGTAGTGGTACTCATGTCAAAGAGAACTTGACGAATCCATGTTCTTCGGGGTCATCGTGTAGTCGTTCAGGTCGTAGTCGGACTTGGCATGATCCAAAACGAAGAAACGATGTTGGGGAGTGCCCTTCGACGAAGGAGGACCCGAAGGTGCTACCGGAGTCGTGGGCAGCGATGCACACAACAAACAAGAGGCTATAGGAGGTCAACGGCACGGGGCGGAGGCAGCGGCGCTCAATGCAGAGGAGGCTGACGCGAGAAAGGGCGGCCTCTGGCCAGCTCCCGTCGGATGCGGCGATGACGGGTGAGGGGAAGGCCGGGAACGGCGACCTCGACGTGGGGTTGCAGGATCTTACCGGCCCGAGGCCGAACGGCGGCTGTTGCTTGAGGAAAACGGTGCCCATGGCTGCACCTGGACAGAGAGAGAAGAGATGTGAGGAGGAAGGAGAAGGCAGGAGGAACGAGAGGACGGGCGCGGCTACCTGGTGGCGCGCTGGTCCAGTGCGGTGCGGCTACCCGCGAAGTGCGGCGAGGGCGAGGAATAGACGAGCGGAGGGAGCACGGGGCCTGCGGCAGAGGGGTGCTGGCGGCTGGAGGCGCGACGGCCGACGAGTTCAGAGGCGGAGGAAGCCGGCAAGACATGAGCGAGGTGGCGCGGCGAAGCTCTATGGGTGCGCGCGAGGAGGCACGAGGCAACAGCGACCATGGGCGCGGTTGCGGTTGCGGGCCCTTGCTGGTGACCGGCCGGCGACGGAGGGGAGGAAGCAGAGGTGGCCATGGCGGGGAGGCAAAGCAGCGACTCGGGGCTGGTGATGGGTATCGGGCGCTGAGTGTGTGGTGGCGGCGCTGAGGAAACGAACGGGAGGAGGAGGGAACGATGGGAGAGATGGGGATCGAGGCTAGGGTTAACAGGGCACCGGCTGGGCTGCGGATGGGCCTCAGAGGACAGCCCAGTGGAGAGGGAAATGGCCAGAGGCCTGGCTGCTGGGCTATGCTCTCTCTCCCTCATATTTCTCCAAGAAATGACATGAAGAGAAAGAGAGTTTAGGAGTGTTGCTGACCATGGGGAAAATCTCTCTGGACCCTACAAAGTATGCTTGATCCAAGGAAAAAATACAATTGGCCCTATTTGCAAGGATTGATTTCAAACATATTTGAATTCCATTCGAATAAGTTTGAATTAGGACAAGGTTTTTGAAAGGTCCAAAAATGTTGAGAATTTAGGTTGAGCTCGAGAAAGTGACGAAAGAATTTATGGGCAAGTTTGAGATCAAGAATTTCGATAAAAAGGCATGAAATTAAATTGCACATGTGTTATGGTGAATTCCATATTAATGGAATATTTAATAGTAGCTCCCTAAAATATTGGGAAGATATTTTATATGTTATAAAGAGAAAACACCACGTGCATTTCCCTCAATTTAAATGGATAGAAGATCCATGCAAATTATTTAAGTGAGTTGCAAAATTAAATGACATGATGCAATGCAAAAAAAAATAGAGCAAGCAATAGAATTATCACGGCTATCACGAAAAACATGGAAGTCAACTGGAGCGTCGGTCTCTGGGTGTTACACTCTTTTCATAGTGGCAGTGATCGATGCTAGCATAGTGCCTTTTCAGTTCAGACACCGACTTCCCCTGTCAATGACAACGACGTACATCTTATGTCCTTTCGTAAATGAAAGCTGTCATTGTAAAAAAAATGAACATACCTTACGGGGTTTGTCGGCGGAGGATACGGAACCACATGCAGGTGCTGAGACCGTACTAACACCTGGCATTGTAGACTGCATTTAGCAAGTTCAGATACGTGTAGAAGTTGCTTCAGGGTTGGGGTTGAATGACATACGACAACATCATAAAACATAACATACTGTTTTTTTACAGCAAGAAGCCTTAGTTTAGCATCTACAACCGGTGGTAAGCAGGACGGTCCACTGGTTGACTGCAGTGCGTGAATTGCATTAACTAAGTCAATAAACCACCATACAAAACGATGTCAAGAAAATGATAAAACAGAGTACATAATTCATCTACATAAACACAGATGTTGCAACATTTAATAGCTAAGCCATGGCTATCATAGGAAATTCAGACACGCCCTTTCCCTGTCGCTTCCCTTTCTTCCGCTTTCGCTTTCGCTTCTTCAACTTGCCATTTCCTCTGTCGGCATACCGGCCAAAAACGCAATATGGGTCGAGCATTATCTGTTCACTGCCGGAGTTGTTGGAGTCATCCTCGCCATCCTCCAAACCCTCCTCTCTGGAAGGAAGGCCGGCAAGCGAACGAACTGCTAGAGTTTACTCGCGTGCCAGTGCACCTGCCATTCTCGCTTGGCGCTTCACAAAGATGCGCGCACGTAGGCATGGATAGTATTATCCTTCGGGACCTTGTTAGCAGCTACAACAAAGTTCGCCATGGCACGACTGTCGTTTGCTGAATGACCAATCTAAGGACCAATTAACTAATACAATTCAAAATTGGATGTGCCATAAAATTGGTCAATAAGCAACCTAGAGAGAGAACGATATGTACAACAGTGTGGATAACCCAAACAAACAGATGAATCTGCTAACTGCATGTGGGAATAAATCAAATAACACATGACATTACGTTCAAATACGAGCAAACTGCTTTGACAGATCTACATAACTGAACCAAACTGCAATTGGGGCTGTATCAAATCCAAACTATAATCACGGATTTTATTACTACTGGTCTGCGCGTTAGAAAATCCTAATACTATATTAAGTATTTACGGATCCGGACGTTTTGAACCAACACATTAATCTAGACTGTCCCACAAACCTAGGATTCAATCACTGATGCTGCATGCATAAATCAAATCTTGTAACCATCCACAAATGACAGATCCTACAGATTTGAAATCAATCAACGGTACAAATGTTGCCACGGGATTACTTACACGAGACGAAGGATCACTGGATCCTCCCTCAATGGTTTGCTGCCAACAGGTTGCTTTCCCCAATATTCGCACGAACTTGCCGCTCCAGTTCTTCCATGTACTGATCAACCATCGCCTTCCTTAGCTTATGAGCTATCGAGAAAAGTCCTGCACGGCGGAGGCGCGTGCAGGTGGCGAGGCCGACACTAGCGAAGACGAGGACAAGCGACATCGGGGAAGAGGATGACAGGTGGCGGGGAAGAGGATGACGAGGGGCGGCGGGGAAGAAATGACGGATGGTTTCACCGAGGGTTGGGCGGCTAAACAGGACGCTTCAATGTCATGATGGACCCACACAGCAATCACACATCAATAGAGGGCCCAAGTGTCTGCCTTTTTAAGCACCTAGCAAGGTATTTTTAAATTTCGGTATAAACGCCTTGTTTAGGCGCCGCCGCGTGCACCTATGGCCCACAACGACCCAACCGCGCCCACCTAACATGCCGGATTATCTCCCTTACGTACCGCGCCGAATGGCCGAGCGTGTCGAGGGAGCACATCAGACTATCCGGTATGTTAGCCGGATGCAGCTACCACACCCAGCAGTACTTGGACATATCAAACAGTCTGACCCAGCGATAACATGGTCATGCTCACAAGTCCGTCTCATCCAGCCTGGTCGCGCCTTCGGGCTAGGCGCGCTTGACGGCTACCACGCTTGCGGCCGGTCGTTGTCGTCGGTCAATGGCGCCTCGGTGGGGGGCGCGATGACGTGCAAGTGTGACGTCTTGCAGTCGGGCGCGAACGTGGGGTCAAGCGACCAAATAAGTTTTTGGAAGGTCAATGGGCAAAATAAGGCTGCTCAGGGGTCATTTAGTAAAAGTTATATCCCAATTCCTGTCCAACAAGTTGACTCATTTCACCGCTGCTCCGAGTGTATAATCCTTAATTATCAACCACCGACGGCCGCAATTACCACCCCCCCCACACCCACACCCACACACACACCCACCCCTCGTAAACCCCGATTCCTCGATCGAATCTAGAGAGGAGGTAGTCGGCGGCGGGCGAGCGGCCAAGTCTCTCAGGTGTCTTCGACGATGGGGTTTATCTCGGGGGTGGTGATGGGGTTGGTGGTCGGCGTCGTGATCATGGCCGGGTGGAGCCGCGTGATGCAGCGGCGCAGCAGGAAGCGCGTCGCCAAGGTTCGGTCGGGTTCACGCGCGCCAGCGCCATCTTCAATCCTCTTGCCACTCCAGTTGGATTGCTCGCGGTTACTGCTAAGCGTACTGCGAAGCTCGTTTTGCGGTTGCGACTTTTTATTTATTTGTGAAGCGAACATTTACAGGCTGCGGATATCAAGGTCCTTGGGTCTCTTGGCAGGGAGGACCTCAAGAAGCTCTGCGGCGACAATTTTCCCGAGTGGATATCCTTCCCACAGTATGAGCAGGTTAGCACTAGTTCAACTGAATTGTCTTTAGTGCGATTTTAGTCGTGTGTTTATTAACTACATACAATAGAAACTAGAATTCACGGACTTGACCACTGGATTCACGAGTGGTAGACTGTACTACTTGGCATGTCTGTCTTGGAAAGTTTTTTTCTTCACTTATATGTACATGTAGGCATCTCGAGAATTAAAGTGTAGGTGGACCTAGGCAGGTCTGGTACGATTTTCTTGTTTGATGACCTCAATGAATTACTATTGGAGCCTGTTAGATATTATGTACCCCTCCATTCCATAAGGTGCGCATACAGATTTTTTGAAAGTCAAACCTCACAAATATGGAATGCCAAACATATATCATTAGATTCATCATAACATGTAGTTCCATATTTTATATTTTGTACTGTACATACAAATAGTTTTCTCTATAAACTTGGTCAAAGTTTGACTTTTCAAAATCTATACACACGACATTATGGAGCAGAGGGAGTATCACATTGATGCAGAGGCCGGAGTTTCAATCTCCTTTTCGAAAAAAGGTGTCAGATGTCGGATCACTGAAGGTTTGGGCGCCCTATCAAATTCGACTTCTTCCGCATCTTTGGATCTCCTTCTCTTCCGAGTCCTCTTCAATCCCTTGCCCATCTTCTCCCCCCGAGGCATCATCGTCCTCCCACCTCACCGCTCCCCCTTTCTCTTCTGTGCATTTGCATAGAACTCTCCCACCACCTAGGACTGAGTGCACACCCAAGCTTTTTTACTCGCCCACTAGATGCCGACTAATCGCCGAGCCGGTGCAGCAAAAGGCTGTGACCAGGCGATTAATGGTGACTAATCACCGACAAGATCAGGCTAATCACTGAGCTGGAGGCATCGTGATTCGACGTGACTCTGCGGCACAAAAACCTTGTCCGCACCGCACCGCCTCCTTGCACTACCATACCATGTCTCGTACAATGCCTACACATGCCGGTGCTGCCCTTCCCACTCTAATATTCACTCCTTTCTTAGGCCATCATCACTTGCCGCCTGTGGCTGATGGTGCGCTGTGCCTCCATGCCTACAACCCACCTTGCTACTGCCTCCATGCCTACAACCGACCTTGCTACTGCCTCCATGAGGGCACTAATAAATCCGTCTAGTGAACATGATCAAATCTCTTGATGGAGCTCGAGAAGAGGAGAAAAAGAAGGAACGTAAGGATCTTACATCAAAAGTATCTGGATCAATAGCTAGATCGTCTCACTGACTCACTCACTGATGCCCAAATAGAAAGACTTTTAATAAAGTAATAATGCCATGATAGGCTAACATGCAGTATTTACATGAAGGGGTAATATTTTAAAGCTCAAGAATTGTTGGTTTGAATTTGCCTAAAGACGAGGACATTTCTGTGAGGTGGAGCTTCTATCATCTTCTGCTTAGTATATTTTGTACACACAGCGAGTTTATGAGAAACTGTTCATGCTTACTTCATTTCTCAACATGACCAATGAATATTCTGCCTACGTTTTTGTCCCCACAGGTGAAATGGCTGAACAAGCATCTCAGCAAACTTTGGCCTTTTGTTTCACAAGTAAGATTTTCTTTTGGCTTTTAGAGTAACATAAATGATAAAATACTTTGCCAATTGGAAAATCCTGCTTGCTAGTAACGGACATGTGGTGTCCCTTTATAGCAATTTCGGTCCCTTAGTGTATGCTGTTTCAGGAAGCTGTTGAACTACAGATCGGTTGTTCTTTAATTTTCTGTGCATTCCAGTCCTGGCATTTCATGGGGTATGTTCGATATTCTTTTTGGTTATGTTGATTATGTTGCTAACTTCCTATTACTACCACAAAACAGCTTGAAATTTTCTCTCACTTTTGTTGCTGCACGGCGAAGATTTACTGAGTGTAACAAAATGATTTTGGCATTTGGAGTATCCCTTCTTTATTCAATCTTTGGATCTTAGACTTGATGATCACGGTCATGAACATAGCACCTTCTGTGCTATTAAGAGCCTATTAGATGTTGTTTGGAGATTCAACTTTGGTGCTGGTCACACCAGTTATCATATTTGTATGTATGGATACTATCAAAATAATACACTTCAAATTATTTATAGTTTCCACAAAGTGAAATGGTGTCCTAAGCCGTTTCCTTCTGGCCACTGGTAAATAGCATGAATGTGTTGATCAAGACGAATGGTTGTATTCTTTGTTTTAATACAACCCCGTATTCCTGTGCACCTAAGTTTTTTTTTTCTGTTTTTTATTCTACAGTAATGTCTATATGCCATGTGTGTACTACTAACTATATTTCTCTTTTGGTTTAGGCTGCAACTGCAGTTGTTAAGGAATCTGTTGAACCACTGCTAGATGATTATCGACCTCCAGGAATAAAATCTCTGAAGTTCAACAAATTCTCTCTTGGAAATGTCTCGCCAAAGATCGAAGGTCTCATGTTTTGTTTTTCAAATTCTCTAGTATCTAGAATGCACCGATACAGATACATGTATCAATATTGGGCCGATATGGATACGTAAATTCACCATTTTGGAAAAGCGCCAATACAGGGATATGTTTTACTATTTTCTTAATTCACCAAAAAAGTGTATAGAAGCTAGGAACAACAACTGATTTCTCTATAACTGTAACATGGCTCCACAATGGTGGCCTTAGGTTGGTAGGTTGAGTAGAAGGATCCATCTGGAGGGGAGGATTGGAGGAGATGAGATCATGAGGGGAGAAAGGAGAAAAGGAAGTCTGGAAGTGAGCTTATCTACGGCTGTCAGCTGAACAGCTCAGTGTACATACCTTGGGAGGTTGTGCCGACCTCAACCGTTGAGCTAGGGGCTGACACCCACCTAGGAGGTGCGCGAGTCAGTGTTGCATTGGCTGCTGCTGCTGGGGTGCGGTCACCACCGTTGCCACATAAGTTGTCGTTGTCAGTCTTTTTCTTAAGGTGGTTTCGATGCTGGAGTTCCGTTCGCTGTTGTAGTCGCTAATGGCGCCATGCTCATAGTTGGCGTAGAGAGCTGTTTGTGGTGTCGACTAGCCAGTGTGGAGGAGCTGTGTCTCTCGTAGCAGGAGTGACCTGGTTTGCATGAAGGTAGGGAAGGGAACCGAAACGGTGTCAAGGGTCGAGACGTCAGCAAAGCGTGAGTTGAGGCCACATAGGTAGGCCAGCACAAGCGCCTGGTCAATCATGGGTTGCCTGACGTCTCGAAGTGTTTCATAAAACGACTTAAGGAGATGACACTAGGCGGTGATGGTGAGATTGCCTTGTGTGAGAACACGCAACTCTGCCTCGACTTAGAAGGCGTGGGTCATCTGGTTTATTGAGGAAGAGGTTGTGGATGAGCGTCTATGCCTCATGGGCGGTTGGTTCTCCACCATGATGATGTCGAAGACATCCTAGATGATGGGGCCATACAACCTTGGAGAAGTTCGGCAACCAAGGTGTCGTCATAGACATGACTGGTGAGCTCATACTTGCCGAAAAGGACGTTGATGAGCATGCTCCACTTCGAGAAGTGGAGGCCTTGAGGTAGAGGATGTCGGGGACATTGACGGCGAGTGAGGCCGGCGATGTAGCCGGGACCATGGCGGAGGAGAGTGCCGCGATCGTTGCGTAGAGCCAGGCGTGTGAGGACAGCACACCCATGGCAAATGAGGTGTTCATGGTTTTTCTTTTCGAAAAGGAGGATAACCCCCAGCCTCTGCATTGAGCGATGCACACAACCATCTTTATTGTATTATTCAACAAAGTCTGACAAAATAAATACATGGACCAACCCAAAGCCACCTTCTTGGCAATCAAAGTCACTACACCTACTAGTTTGATGATGTGCCTTGACCACGCACCATCTAATTTGGTGGCCTCACCAAGCCGCCCCACGGAGAGCAGAGATCACCAACCGTGCTAGCCGACCCTCAGCGTGCACTGTATGCGCACGCTCCATCTTTTGCCGTCCCAATTTCTGGAAAGATCAACGCATTAACCTTGCCAAGCCCAACTGCCGTCGACGCCACCACGACAACAAACAACGCCACGACCTTGCGCGCGTCCATCAACACACGTCCATCACCGAGACCCCGCTGCGCCAGGCCATCGAGACCGCGTCACTGGCGCGGTAGATGCCACACCGCACCACCACCTGATCCAGATCGCCACCAACGCCAACCCAACGGTGTCCACCAGCAACCTATCTCCCAAGGCGGCTTCAAGAAGGGAACGACCCCGAAGGCGCCGTCACTGCCCGCCGCAGTTAGGGCTTTCACCTGGGAGACAAATGATGGGATGGAGGTAGTAGCAGATCTGACGAACGTCTCCATGGAGAAAAACAGCGCCCTTGGATGTGGCCGCCGTCGCGGATGACCAGTGCCGGCTAGGGATTTCTCCCGATCTGAATCCCCACATCCAGCAACATTCGCATCGAGGACTGGCAAGTCTTGCGCCCCAGATCCATACGAAGCACACCAGAGCAGGGGAAGGAATGGAGGTGTCTTGATCTAGATCAGGCACCACCTGCCGAGCCAAGCAGTGCCCCAATTGATCCAGGAGCCTACCCCCAAGCGCACAACATGCTCCCCATCACCACCTTCCTTGGCTGCGGCCCGGGCTTGCTTCTGGCACCAGTCTCTGGCGGTGGCGAGGAACCAAAGGGGAATGGGGGAGGCTAGGCTGCGGCGGCGTGAGATCCACTAGCGAGTCGGGGTGCTGCAGCGGCATGAGATCCACCCAAACGGAACGGTTTCTACATCCAGAGTGAGTCGTCTGAGGTGTTCATGGTGGTCATGGGAGATTGGATCGGGAGAGGTATAGCTGGAGGTAGGATCAGTCTGCAGCCGATACCATGCTCTCGTATGTTTGTATAGCTTGTACAAGGTGCCTTGCAAGGCAAGAATAGTCAATCACAACAATCGAATATTAAGAGAATGGGCTAGAGAGGTAAGGTGAGAGATTGCCTAACATCTATGCATGGTATATAATTTAACAGCCGTCGTAATAAGGTTTGCACCTCAAGATGGCAGCCTGCAATTCAGGCAATTCTGCGCAACTTGTACTCTTGTAGGCTTCCTCTTTGCCTCAAATGATTAAACTCATCAAATATACCAACCGCATTTCTTACGTCAAACCTCTCTGCAATCTCTTGCAATCTCTTGAGTTCACTCTTGCCAAGATAGATGCTTGTCCCCTATCCACTAAGGAACTGCCCCCCCCCCCCTCCATACCTGCTGCGCTAGGCCCTGAACCAAGAATGCTGT